AAATATAGTAACTTTAAATGGGACAATTAAGGTATAGAATAGTAATGTTTAGGTATTTATAACAGAGTTCAACGATAGTAGCAATGAAATTTAGGGAAAAGGAACTTAATTATTCAATCTAAATTGAATACCACTGAAGGATTCAACTTAAAAACATAAAGAACCAACAGTAAAACAAATGCAAAAACCAAATAAACTGAAGCAATAGTTCTCAACAGAAATAACAAACAAACTCTAGAAAACATGAAAACATAAAGTGATCTAAAGAGATCACTTCTTATTTTCAATCTTCACCTTGATATCCTCCTTCTTCACCACAACCTTCTTCACAGCTCCACCATCATCATGCTTAACCTCCTCAGATTCGACCACCTTACCTTTGTTCTTCATATCAACATTCTCCTTTGCTTTGTCTTCTGCCTTAACATCTGCTAACTCAAGAGCAACCTCTCCCACAAACTCCGGATTAGACTTCTCCAAGTCCACTGGTGCAATGCACAACTTCTTTGAAGTTGATGATCCATCAGAGCTTCCAACATTAAGGGGGTAAACACGCTTAGAGGATGGAGTTATTGAGTCAGTAGTCTCTTGACTACACTCCAGCATTAGAGGTACCTGGCCATAGAAAAGAAAAGTAAATTCAAGTTGTCAAAAACTAACAATTGGATGATTAACATAAACAAAGATTATATATATCAATCTGAGGAATTACCTGATCACCAGATACAATTGAGGCAGCATTGACAATGTCAGAAGATTCCTCCACCAATTGTTCCTCAAGTAGTCCATTCTTCTGTAGAACTTTTGAAACCTTGTAGATTTCTTTTCCATCAAAGATGTTTGCTCTCTCAATCCAGACCAGAAAGAGAAATGTCTTCCCAATAAGATTCTTAACCGGATCAGGCAAATCCTCAGGATCATCAATCTACAGAGCATTGTATAAGTTAGTACAGTGCTTGGTATGGTTTAACAAAAAAAAAAGCTTTGTATGTATTATAGTAGCACATACCTCATCAACTGAGCCATCAAGCACAGATGCTGCAGATTCACCAATGATTTCAGAGCAAATTGAATCAAACAGTAGGAGTCTTGCCTCACCAGTATTATCCATGACCTTAGCATAAATCATAAACCTATAACAGATAAGAATGTTAATTAGATTGCTACTGAAAACTATATATTTTAAGAAAACACAAATCAAGAATAAAGAAGTATTACCTAGCAATGACATTTGTGACCACAGACTTGCACACGTCACACCAGAACCTAGGTTTCTTCCCTTTGTTGTTGACACCATTAACCCCAGCATGGACATGTGTGACCTTCTTATTGCAAGATTTGCAACTAATGTAGTACCATGCCCAATCAGTATCAATGGCATAGATGGTACACATCAGCCTTGCCTTACCAACCTAAGAAAATAAAAAATATAACTTAGAGAAAACTAGATATAAAGACTAAGAAAGCAAAGTTTCTTACATCCATAGAAGTGATGAGTTCTGAAATTGTGTTCCTTGGAAACTCATCATAATCTTCGTTTTTGGCACTGACAATAGCAAATCTTGGTACTCTCTCACGGAATACACAGATTATACCATCATCCGGGAGTCTAATTTTTAACATAAGAGTTAGCAGGTAATGAAACAATTATGGAGAAAATAGAATAAGAACTATATAATTAGGGCAAGTCTTACGATTGGATAAAAGCAGCTACTTCAGGGTAGGCTGGATTGACATGGACTTGAGTAGCATCAAATGAATTTGATAAGCTCCTAACACCTAGGTAATATAAGAACTGAAGTCAAAAACTGTCTGAAAGTAGCTACATATGTATGTATAATTGAGAGTAGCTGCTAGGTACCTTTGAATGCCTTTATCTTAGCAAATCGAATCAGGCACACGACAGTCTTGTCTTCAGCAGCTTGACAGGCTGTGTAAACAGTCTGAGCAAATGACCCCCACAAAGTAACTGCAATTCTCACATCCCTAAAACAAATACAAAAGATCAGTATATTGAAAATATAGAAAGATATAAACTGAGTATGTTGAGAGTTAAAATATCACGTCTCATCTCTCATTTCGAAATCAAGCTTGCAAGTAGGCTTATTATTAGCCTCAATGTTCTCCAACTCAGATACCATAACAATTTGACCCATGACATCTGTTAAAACAAATACAAATGTTTAGTATATAATTTAGTAAAAGAACTAAGATATAGGATTTACATATTTAATAAATAGATCACTTACCAACCAAAATGTGGGGATTAAGCTCTCCACTGTGAATCTTTTCGAACTTGGCCAAAGACAGGTAGTTTGATTCAGACTTAGGTTCAGAACCAAATACAGTAGTGGTGTTGACAAAAGTCATCTTGTAGAGATGATTTGTGGGACGGAATTGACCACCAGCATAACTAAGACCAAATGTCTCAATTAAGACCCAATCTCCAACAGTTAGACTGTTGACATACCTGGAGACCAAATCCTTTTTGACAGTGCAATGAATTTTCTTCCCCTGCAAAATGAAGTATTAGTTATGGTAGGAAATAGATAAAATGATGTGTATAGGAAAATTGATATGTTTTGTATTTGCTTACCAGTTCATCAGAGAACACCAACTCAAGAGTCTCACCAGTATCAGAAGTGTACTGTTTCCAGGCGTGAAGGACTTTCACCTGGACTCTCCAGCCAAGCTTGTAAGGACGAACATCTTTGAGGTAACCAAAAGTAGCAGCCATTGTGGACTTTGTAATATTTGTTTTAATGGATAGTGAAGTGAGATGTTTAGTTGCCGATGGTGAGAGTTGAAATGCAAATGAGAATATATATAGTAAAATGATTTAGGTTAAGCATGTAGAGTTGTGATCACGCAAAAAATATATTTAGGAGAATAAAATTAGGTATAAAATCTTTGGATCCCAACATAAAAGGAATATGCGTGATTATTAGTTTGCATTCGCAATATATTTCTTGTTATAAATGGATATAAGAGAGATATTAAAGTGAGATAATCTCGGAGAATAAATGCAGGTACCATTCAATGATTGAGAGGAATATATGTTGTTGCTAAAACTGTATCACGATTCTGGAGAGTGATTGTCGGGTACCATTCAAGATAGTTTGAGAGCAAATCAAACTGATGAGATATTCTTGCGAAAGATATTTGGTAATTTAGATAGGATTAGGTTTAATAGCAATGTAAATTAAATGCAAATCTAGATATTAAAATGATTTGGAGGTTTTATTAGTTTCCATTTGATAAATTTTTGTCATATATGGTTAAACGAATTGTTTAAAATGGTATATACGCTTTGGATTAGGATTAGTTTTTGGTTAGTTGATTTAATTTCGAAGATATCACCGAGATTATGGTGATTAAGAGTTTTAATTACGAATATTTGACTTCCATTTGTTAGGATTGGATATCTCGTAAACGAAAAATTAGGAATTGTTAGATGAGTTTATTAATTGTTTTGTAAATTTCATTAAGACAAACATTTTGTCAGATTTTATTTGTAGGGACTAAATGTACAATATTTAAATTGTAAAAGGATTTTTGAGGCCAAATCTTCACTAAAAATGTATATATAGATAGTACTCGATTGTGTTATTCTCATATCATTTAAAGTTGCACTGCAAATATCAGATTATATGTTTTAGTTTATCTACTAGCTATAATCTATTTTAGTTTCATTGATTTAGTTTTGTTTATGGTTTTCGTTTAGTTTCATTGATTCTTAAACACTAACTTATGAGTTTTGTGTTTTTATTTGTGTAGAGAGAAACATGTGACCATGAAAGAGAGACTTCAATAAGTAAAGATAAAGAAAGAAAGAATGGCCGTGATAAAGACAGAAAAGAATTAAGTTTTATGTTCTATGAAGCGATATAGATGTAGAGATCAAAGTACGGAGTATAGTGAAAGAAGGAAACGGTGTAGTAGGGATGATGATGACTATGATAGGTGATTATTCTTGAATCAAAATCATCTTTTCAATTTAGAGAATCTTTTCTCCAGATTATGTAAGGTACTGATTTTACTTATTTTTGATTTTTGCTAGGTGAAGAGATGATCGAGGAGATAGACGCAGTCATCGATTTGCTCTGATTATATAATGGACCAATTAGAGATTTAGAGTGCCGGATTGAAGTTAGTGTTTCAATTTTTAGTTTTTTCTTTAAATTTGATTTTAAATTTTAGCAATATATTGAAGATTTAAATATACTACGGAAAATTAGCATTTGAAGTTGTTGGCATATAAAAAAATAAAGAATTGTTTGCACATTTCCAAGTATAGTGTTTCCAACCATTGGTTGTAAATTATAAGAAATGTATTTTATTTATGTCCTATATATGTATTGGTTTCCAACTATTTGTTAGGTAGAAGGAAATGGTTGTAAATTTTCACTATCAGTAATAGAACATATTGGTAAGGCTGCATATAGACTCCAATTACTTGAGAAGTAAAAAACAACATCATGTGTTTCATGTATCACAATTAAAGAAAGTTTTAGCAATCATCAGGTTATTGCTTTACCTGAAGTGTTTAATGAGAATGAAAAGCTGATCATTGAACTAGAAAAGATTCTAAAAACAGGTTACAATGACAAGGGTGTATTAGAAGGGTTGGTTCATCGGAGAGGTACACCAGATCATGAAAATTCTTGGGAAGTTTGTAGAGAATTGCAGCGTCAATATTGGTTTCAAACTCGTGGCACTTAATTGTTTCTTGTTTTTAGTTTTCTAAAAAATTCAAATCATCGATTTCTAGATGCATTCGTTGTAAAACAATTTTTTTTGGTGAATATATACAATTTTACATTCATACAAAAAAAAAAAAAATTGCAGCGTCAATGTCCTTCACTATCAGCTTGAGCACAAGCTTCATTTTGAAGGGGCGGAGTATTGATAAGCCTCACCAAGTGTATATAAGAAAGCAGAAGTCATACGTGCCAGAGCCTCACCAACTGTATATAAGAAAGCAAGGTCACACGTGCCAGAAAAGAAAGCAAAGGATCGGAGTCGTACGTGTGAGAAGTGAAGAGAAGGAATCAATTAAGTGAAGACATGAGTATATTGTGTATATAGGCTTGAGTATTGTTTCTGTAGAAGTTTATGCATTTGTTTGTTGTATCAGTGACGCATGTGTCATTGTAAAGAGAGAGTGAGAGTGATGATCTGGAGAGATGTTCTAGAGCTCTTTCGAAAGACAAATTGTATCAATTCTTTGAGTGTTAATAAAGATTACATAACATTTTATTGGATAGTTAACATAACATTCGACTTCAACATTCCAATAAAAAAAAGGTACAATCTTTAACATAACATAACACAATCTCATCCTCTATATATATGAATGATCCAATGAAAACAGAATGAAAAGGAGTAAAAATCAATAGCGAAATAGTTCTCAACTAGAAGAAGTAAAACATCGAGAGCGGACGGCGAGAGATAAGGTCATCAATCTATCATAGTAAACAAACAAATAATAGAGAGTAGTAATTAACCAACAACTGGGACAAGAGTGAGAGAGGCTAGTCTTCGTGACAAGCTTAAAGTTTATCCACCCCTCTATTCACGCCAGCAGAACTTGGAGTAGAAACAGCACGCCGCTGATAACAGATACTTCTAAGTTGTATCAAAAGAAACTCTACACGGTTTTCAAGATCTACTAAATTTGAGTACGCCTCCAAGGATTTAGCAGACTTCATCAGTCTATGCTCAAGCAAGGTTACATGATGAAAATGCTTTTCGTGCGTGGCAGCATTAGTCGTCCTTGTAGCAGGAATCTTTGTAATGCTGTCAAGGCGAAATTTTTAGCATCATTCTCCATAAGAAAGGAGGAAGATACTATGATTTTCTCCATATTGAAGGACTATGACTGATGAGAACAATTTCTGAAAAAATAAGTGGAAGTGATCTCTCCCAAGAGGAGAAAAATGACAAGAACTCTCCTTACATTTTTTCTATTCTTCGTTGACAAAAATATTTATGAATATTTTCGTTGTAAACAACAATACACAATAATATTGAAGACGTGTAAAGTGAAAGACAAAATAAAAGAGAGAGCTTCCAAAGGACTAACCTTTTCTCACCAGTTCACTATGCAATTGCAAACACACGCATACGCATCTATCTTTCTCCTCTTATTGGATTCTTGCGTTGGTACGCGTCTTCTTAGATGCTTCATCACTTCACTTTCTTCTTCTTTTCCATTGTCACTTTTTGTGATCTACAACATTTGCTCTTGAACCACTAAATCATCTCCATACTCAAAGCCACCGACTTGGCTTTAAGATCTGAAAGCTTTCGACTTTTCATTGTCAATCGCAGTATTGAGAATACCCAGTAGCCAAAGCTCGGATCTTTGGCCTTGTGGATTAAAATTTTAGGGGTTTAGGGTTTTGTTTTGTTCTGTAGAAGCAATGGTGGATTCTAGTGGAAGTTGGAGAGATGCGTATAAAGGAATGTCGTCTGATAATGTAAAGGGTTTAGTGTTGGCTCTATCTTCAAGCTTATTCATTGGTGCTAGCTTCATTGTGAAGAAGAAAGGATTGAAGAAAGCTGGTGCTTCTGGTCTCAGGGCAGGTTTATCTCCGCTTTTAGTAATTTGGGTTTAAGAATGTCTATTGATCAATCTGTGTGAGCTTCACTTGTAATGTGTGTTGAAATGGAGACTTATTGAGATTTAAGTGGCAAAAATTGAAGCTTTCTTTGCAATGGTCTCAAGTCTCGTAAATATTTTACAGTTTTTGTTTGGCTAAATTTGGTGGTGACATATGTGTAGGGTCTGGAGGTTATTCTTACTTGCTTGAGCCTCTTTGGTGGATAGGCATGATAACAAGTGAGTTTACTTGATTCTTACATGATTTGTTTAAGAATTTTCTTACCTGAGGTATCGAGTTATCGGTTTAGCTGTGCAATGTGGTGTTGGCAGTATTTTTTCTTGGAAGATTTTGGTGGCATTTATGGTAGACACAATGTTTGCTTGTTTTGTAGTGATTGTGGGGGAAATTGCAAACTTTGCTGCGTATGCGTTTGCACCTGCCATTCTAGTTACTCCTCTTGGCGCGCTTAGCATTATTATCAGGTGTGAATAAACTCGTAAGTTTCGCATAACATATGTGTTTTTTAGGCTAGGTAGTCTTTTGCTATAGATTAGAGTTCTATATTTGACAACTTCATAACCTATTGATCCAAGTTTTATATTGAAGTATAGAGCTTTTTTATATTGTGTTTTGCAGTGCTTCTCTTGCACATATCATCTTACAAGAAAAGTTGCACACTTTCGGGATCCTTGGTTGTGCTTTATGTATCGTTGGTTCGGTAACAATCGTGTTACATGCTCCACAAGAACAAGATATTGATTCCGTTTTAGAAGTATGGAATCTTGCAACAGAACCTGGTACAAACCTCTCTCTTCTCTCTCTGTCAAAGCCCAATCTTGTAACTAAGATTTATATGATAGTTTTCGTGACACATTGTGTGTTCTTTAACAGCTTTTCTCTTCTATGCTGCGGCTGTGGTAGGAGCAGCTGTTGTACTTATAGTTCAATTTATACCGCTTTACGGGCAATCCCATGTCATGGTATATATTGGTGTTTGCTCTCTTATAGGATCATTATCGGTACGTGATCACTCTATAATCTTACATGTTGTTACATACATTTACCGTGTTGTAGTGACAATATTCGTGACCGTTTGCAAACAGGTTATGAGCGTCAAGGCGCTTGGAATAGCGTTGAAACTCACTTTTTCTGGAACGAATCAATTAAGATACCCGCAAACATGGGTCTTCACTGTGATAGTTCTTATGTGCGTGATAACACAAATGAACTATCTAAACAAGGTAAGTGAAAGTGCCAATTCTACAAAAAATTTCTCTGGTAATGTTATGAGATGAAATGCTTGTTTAGGATAATTCATTCCGGGTTCTCGCTTTTTTTCACTGGTAGGCGCTAGATACGTTCAACACGGCAGTAGTTTCCCCCATATATTACGTTATGTTCACGTCATTGACGATCTTGGCTAGTGTCATCATGTTTAAGGTATTACTTGTTTCTTTTTTCTTTTATACTCCTTATATGCTAAACTGCTCTGCTGCTGCGTAGCCATTTTTGGCATTTCTGTTTACAAGTAAACAAAGAAACACCTTGCAAACAAAACGATTGAGGCCATAAACAAGAATAAGATCTGTTTTTTTTTTATCTGGTGATTGCAATGCCTAAACAGGATTGGGATCGGCAGAACGGAACACAGATCTTTACAGAGCTGTGTGGGTTCGTCACAATCCTATCTGGAACTTTTCTTCTTCACACAACAACGGACATGGTTGATAGCGAGTCTAAAGGAAGTAAGCATTTTGTTTCTTGGTTGTTTGTAGGAGATGATCATTTCATGCTTTGTTCATAATTCGATTATTAACAGCGACCAAAATGCAGATTTATCATCAGACGATAATCATCTGCTTCTGCGAATTCCAAAACATTCAGAAGACAGTAACGGGTTTGTGCAGGACGGCATCATTCTCAGTCTAAGACGCCAAGAGTCTGCAAAGTCACCCCGGCCTGCTCGTCAAACCAAGCAACTAGAAGATGATCTTGAAGCTGTGCCACTCCGAAGACAAGAGAGTTCATTACGTTCATAAGATTGTTGCGCCACATATACATGTATATATATAATCTATCCCTCAAGGTCTTCAGCGCCTAAGAGCATTGCGTTTGGTATCATCGGCTGAAGAGAGATGGCATTCTTATAAGTAGCTGAGCCATTTTTCACAATATCTTTTCTTATACTGAAAAGTTGGGTTCTTCGGAAATGTCATGTGTCACTTGTTTGGAGAAACTGTTTATATACACGTATATGTGATTGAACCCTAATTAATCAGAATCGAACTAGTGGTGGCAACGCTGCTCTAAGGACAAGAGGAACCCAAACCGGAAATTGCTTTCACGATAATCAATCAGAACTTTATGAGATCTTGTTGCAAACATACTGATACAAACTAACAAGCCTACAGAAGCAATGAATTGAATAAAACATTGAGAAGACTGTTAATGAATTGAATCGGCCTTTCTTTTTTTCTTTGAAACACCTCTCCCTCTCTCTCTCGCTCTCTTTCTTAAAATCACCATCACATTCGTATAACCCTAATCCGGGTTCTCACCTGAAACGTGTGTGTCGATCTTCTCACAACAATGTTAGTCTCAGAGACAAATAACTGTGGTATTTTACTCTTACTCACAGTCAGTACAGCTGCGATACTATACAGCATTCAAAAAGTGGTCTGTTATTGTGTTGCTGCTTGTATAAGGTTTCGCTTCTCTTCTGATCTGTGACGAAACAATTTGGTGATTTTTCTCCTCTCGCAATCCTGAAATTTTCACAGAAGGGAAAAGACTTAAGAATTTTTCTTCTCGATACGCGTTTCACTCAGGATTATGTTATGAACCTAACTAACTTAACATAATGGCCAAACCTGCATAGTGACACTTTCCTACGTAGGTATTTGATTCAAATAGAACAAATCATTCAACCCATCTTACATTCATAATCATCACTTTCTTCAAACCCATGATACTAGTTTCTTATTTTCGGCTCTGATGCAAGTTTTTATATTTTACAGACCATACTATACCAACTCCATTTTTCACAAATCTGTAGGTCGAAGATCTCTATCTACCTTTAAACCCAGCTTAAAAGTGGAAACAAGGCAAATCCAGTAATATCTATAAGCATCAGGCAGGTCAATATGGAAACATAACAGTTTCATTGAGGGTTATTAAAACATAAATCTTGTACCTTGAACATGTGAAGATTAAATGGAGTGTCAGGATTCATCCTTGTTAATTTCTGGTAGGTGTATGCAAAGCTCAGCTGGTCTCGGGGAGTGAAGCGCTCAACTTCGTTGAACCAAAGACAGGAGAATAGGTTTGACATGGGAGTATGTTCCCGTACTATGAAAGACCCTTCTGGAACATCTGCAAAGAGCATACACAAGGAGAATTATAGTCACAGTGAGAAAAGAAAAACATATAAATGTACTGAATACATCCATTGGTCGACCATAGTGTAGCTCGGTGGTAATAAGCATTTAACCCACGATGAAAGCTTAATATGAAGACTGGAATAAAAGTTGGCTGCAGTCAAATACTTGTGGCCAATTTGCACATGAGATTCAAACACAAATGCACACCATTGGCAAGACTGTAAATGTGAAATTCCACATGCACTCATTAGCATAGTTTCAGATGCAAATCGTTAGCAGAATTCTACTTCTTTATCATGCTTGATACGATTTTGCTACTTTTCAACTCACACTAGTCATTTTTTTTTGTTTATTATTAACCAGTTTCTTTCTAATCATTCACCGTCCATGTTATCAGAAAACACAAGCAGCTATGGCACAAACTACAGAAAACGCTCCCTAAGTGGGGTTTTAATCATGTCTTATAACAGTTATCCAAAAGAACTTACTGCTGGGAAGAAGCTTGTTGGGATCTGAAGCATTGAATCTCGTCAGCCCGTCAGACTGGTAAAACTCAAACTGCTGATCAATGACAGTGTGATTGTACTTGTTCAGCTTCTTGTTTTGTGCAACTTCTTCCCATAGGCAATGGCGGTCGTAATGATTGGAGATAGCATACTCGTGCCCATCACGCCACAGAAAGTATTCCAAAATGACTAGGGGGTCCAACTGGAGACGTAACTTGCTGTCTAACCAGATTGAGTACCTAAAGAGTAAAGAATATACATTGGATGAGTTTCTGTTTTGAATTGTAGAGCTTCAGGTGGGTAACGAAAACAACTTCCAACATCTAAACTTTAACGTATTCAGATTTTGACTCTTGCATTTGTAGCTTAGTATGGAAACTATAAATATACTAGACACCTAATATCCTCTCCAGTAGATTCTCATTAATACTAAACCGAGTAGTGCTTGTCTAGTCGCTCTAACTTTGGCTAAATGTATCTGCAGGAGAAAATTGTGCTAGTTAGACCTATTGAAACCTATCCCTACGACATGAGTCTCACCTTGCCGAAGGGAAAAGTCTGTGTGGTAACAGTTTTGGTATTTTCCCTACCCTCCTCATATCTGCGTAAGGAAGATTCCTCACCACAACCAATTTCCACAGACCAACGAATCCAGCTCCGTCGGGTGCTTGGCCTTCGGCAGAAAGTGTTTGCATGGTAATCTCGTCCACAAACACAACAAAGCAAACATCTTTTCTTGAAAAACTACTTACCTAAACGAAGAGAGAAATCCCAGGTTAGCAAAAGTAATGAATATAAATTTGATGATATCAGCGTGTAAACAAATAAAACCACATGCAAAAGGGATATGCATCTATTGCAGATCCTTAAAATATGTGAAGATAATCACGCCAAAATGAAAGCAGAAGCTACTAACAAGTCACTGGAATCAATGTTAATGTCCTGATGGGCATGGTTACAGAAACACCCATCAAACAAACAAATGCCTGGCATTCAACTATTCCTAACGCAGCATTTGCATGTCTGCATATGGCAATTATAAATACATCACAATATATTCTTCTGCAACCAATAATTTTTTTTTTTTGATAATTTGCACTCAAATACAACTGTCAACTACGCATCTTAATCTAGTTGCCAGAAACTAGCTTACTGCTATCCAGGTCAGGTTCAACAGTTGGTCAAACTTAGTTTGCAAATCTCAGCTAGTGAGTATCTAAGTGCTACAAAATGTCTTAAGTCTCCATGTATGTAGGATGGGCTATTTCTATGTACCTAACCCGATGCTAACAGAGAATAGTGGTTCGGAATTTCAAATTCTAGATGTGGAAATAAGAAGGAAAAATACAACATGAAAATACATCAAGGGCTTACTTTATCATACCATTTTATTAGCAGGATGCCTCAAGCGATCAGAATTTCCAAAGATACAGGATATCACAGCAATATGACATTTACTGATATAGTTAGCATCATCTTCTGTCAGGTCAAATCCAGTGCTTGGCAATCCTTCAGGGGCTTTGACAAAGCCACAATGGATTTTCTGCTCTTGAACCAAGAAAGAGTCTTCTCGTTCCTGTAAACTCTGGTGACCTGCAAATTTAGGCTCCCAGTGTTCTTCTCCATCAGGTTTATCCTCCATCTGTATGTATTGTAAGGAGGGTGCAGCAAAATTTTGAGTTTTCAAAGGCTCTTTTATTTGTTGACTGGAATTCAACAGCTTCATCTCACAAGATACGCCTATAAGATTTAAACACAACAAGAGTATTCTGAGAAGCAAGAGCCCATAATATGTTCTTTAACTCAGCTAATAATAAGACATTACCTGAAAATCTGTGACTTCGCGCTCGTCTTTTTGTATCAGCTTGTGATGTTTTCCCCGACTTACCACCCGCACCAACAACAGAAGACTTCCCACGTGATCTTTTTGAAGTTGCTCCATGAATCTTTTCAACTTTCTGATGCTTGGTCGTGGAATGAAGAAAAACAGATGCATTCTCTTTGTGAGATTCTTCAGCAGCACCATCCTCATTGTGCCTATGATTATCTTTGTGTGATTCTTCAGCACCATCCTCATTGTGCTTATGATTATCTTTGTGTGATTCTTCATTTTCATCCCCATCATGCCCCATATCAACATATTCATCCCCTTGAGTATCATGAGAATCAATTGAATCATCTTCATTAGATTCTGTATCAAATGGCTGATGATGCCCATCATTCTCCTTCAAAGATTGACCACCTTTTACAAGAGAAGCCTGATACTCCACTTCATATTTCTTCAGCTCATCACGTCCAGCTTCATTATAAAAACCAACCCCCTTCCAATCTGAACCCTTCAAAGGATTCCGCAGCGATACATCCTTTTTCACTTCAGACACTGACCTCTCCTCAACAACAGATTTATCCTCTACATCATCCTCATTATAATCTTCATCCCTTCTTCTATCATCCTTATCCCAATCTCTCGAATCTCGTCCATGTAACACTGAACCATGACCAAACTTAAGTATTTTCAATGGATCAGTTCTTGACACATTCGTTAGAAAATCACCTTCAGATGTATCAATTCCTGCATAAACGTAATACAATGCATCAGCTTCTTCCTTATCCTATTCGAACATCAATCTCTCGAATCCAATTCGAATCAGCTAAACATTCATACTCAAATCAACCAAAAGAGGATCTAGCTCGAGAGAAATCGAGAACTGACCTTTATCATCTTTGCGAAAATTAGTATAACCGGAGAAATAATAGTAAGCAGAGACACAAACAACGAGCACAACACAAAGAACAAACACCAAAGAGCCAACACCGCAACGACGATTCCTATCTAATCGAGTAGATCGCCGCCATCGACTAGCTTTCCCGTGCTGATTTACAACTCCGAAATTACCACCACCGCCGTTACGGATCCCGATCGCTACATGATCTGACGAAGCTCCGCCGTTGACATAAGGATTGTAACCGCTTCGACCTCCCAAAAACCTCTCCGTTCCTGATTGTCTATACTGAGCCATTCTCGCATTGTCGACGAAGCCTCCTCCTTCTCCGTCGTCGTCTCTCTCTACGTCTCCGTTGAAAATCTCGTTTACATAAGCAGAGAGTGGAGAATGTGAAGAGAATTTGAAGTATGAATGAAGCAAACTTGTTTTTGATTTTGAGATACTTGACGAAGAAGAAGATCGATTAAACTAACCATTAAAACGATCTGATTGGGTGAGATAGAGAGAGAGGTGAAGGCGCGTGAAGGGTCACGCGCTACCGGGCTAAATGACGGCGTGTGTTTGGATCAGCTAACAGTTTGTTTGTATGACGTGGCGTGAATTTGCAGTTACGAGACTGTCCTTTGGATCCGACCCATTTAGGGTGGGTGCGTGTGGGTACCATTTGGTGTCAATTAGACAATTTTTTAAAAATTGTAACTAGATTTTAAGCCGCGGTACACCGCGAGATGATTTATTTTTTAAAGTTAGTATATATAAAATTTTATAAATTGTATCCCTAAAATATTTATGTTTTATAGTTTATAATTATTATCAAGTAACGGTATATCACGAGTTCATGGAACAATAATAAACCGAGGATTTAACTCGTATTAAAGCGGCATCTTAATGATATTTTAAAATTTTATAAATATTGATTCAAACCCGTTCGCCATATAAATCTGTTCCGAAATATAACCCGGCACATAATTTCTTAACCCGTCCCGTGATTTGTTTTCTAAAAGTAGTGATTTTAAAATTTAATAATTTTTTATTATATATAAAGTTTATAAATTGTATCATTCTCTAAGACATTTATATTTTAATAAACTAAGGATTTAATATGTATTAAAGCGACATGTTAATGATATTTTAAAATTTTAGAAATGTTGATTCAAACTCGTCCACCATATAACCCGTCCTGTAATTTCTTAACCTGTCCCGTAATTTGTTTTCTAAAAGTAGTAATTTTAAAAAATTTAAAGATTATTTATTATAGATAAAAGTTTATAAATTGTATCTTTTCAAAGACATTTATATTTTATAGTTTACAATTGTTATTAAGTAACATTATACCATCTGACAATTTTTGATTTTATACAATCTTTTCTAAATGAGACTGATTTGATATATCTAATATTGGTGGTATTAAAAAAGAAAATTAAGGATCTAATCCGTATTGAAGCGACATGTTAATCTTTTTATTATTGTTGATTCAAAAATCCGTCCCGCCAAACCCGTCCGGCCAAAAAACTCATTTATTTTATTAATGTTGATCTTATTTATGATATGATTCTGAATCATTGTCTAAATATTTTAATCGATGTAGAACGTTGAACACACATTTTCGTCAACTGGATAATATATGTCCGTTTTTAAAATTTCGAATTACAGTATATGCTGAAAAAAAATTGATTATTTTTTTATTTATGTATTATATGATGATTCAAAACAGTTAAAAACAAATCAAACAAAGATGATAGGAGAATCATAATTCTAAATCTTAATCAAATCTTCTAAATATCTAAATTATTAAATATGGAATATCCGGAGTATGAGTTGGGTTAAATATAACCCGACCCAAGAAATTTTTTATGACCAAAATTTGTAAACGGGTCGGGTATCCAAATAACCCGAAAGCATTTTTATCCACCCGTCACCAAAATGACTGCAAAAATACTAGTATAGATGAATAAAATGCAACTGAAAAACACAGGTTTAAAAATCATCACATTTATAAGTACGAGTTTTACTACCTCCGATTAACCAAAAATATACAATTAAACGAATATATTTATACGTCAAATATCGGTGCATGAATTATCTACTATACAGGACGAGTTATATTGCGGAACGGATTATATTGCAGGACGTGGTTATATGGCGGGACGATGTTATAATTTATCAAAATAACACAAACATAAAGTTTGAAAAATTATGATTTCCTAAAAACAAATTGTCCCGCGGTGTACCGCGGGTCGATTCCTAAGTATATAAAAGCAAATTTTTTAAAATGTTAAACTTTATAAAATATTTATAATATGTAGAATTTTATGAAGTTTCAAATATGATTAATATTTTAACTTTTTAAGAATTTTAATATTATAAATATTTTAACTTTATAAGAAGCTTAACCATCATAAATATTTAAATTTTATCAAACATCTAAAGTATTTATAATAGATAAATTCTATAAAACGCTTATAATATTTAATAAAATTTGAACTCTATAAAAATTAAAAATATAAATATTATGAGAACCATTTAAAATCAAACATTTAAATTGACTCGAATTATATTTCTTTCAAACAAAGTATTATTAAAAAGTAAAATAACAAAATGATGTTTAGTTTCATGGGACGAGGTTATATGGTAAGACGAGTTTGAGTCGATATTAATACGGGACGGTATACCTCGGGTGAAATCCTATAACTAACAATCAAAATACAATTATACAATCTTTAACATACTAAACAAAACAAACAATATTAACAAAACAACTACAACTTAAAATTTAAACTTTTTAGTTACAAAAATATCGACATGCGATGTACCGTGGTGTAAAATCTAGCTTTATTACAAACCAAATACAATCGATCAAAAGATTATAAACATAAAAATTTCTTATCAAATATATACAACACAAATAATCAAATTTTAAAAAAATCAAATAAAAATATTATTTCTCCCGCGGTGTACCAAATATAACAAGTTATACTGTTACTATACAACACAAGTAATTCTTATGTAAACAATATAGAAGACAAAAAAATATTAGACTTATTAATATTGTAAACTTACGACTCACTTCAAACGATACACAATCGATTTAAAGAATTATCTATCAACACAAACAACAACCAACACTATACACAACCAATTCTTCATTTATTAAAAATCATAAATAATAAAAATATTTAACCCACGGTGTACCGCGGGTCATATCCTAGTAAACCCAACAAATTCGGCACACTGAATTTTAAGAAAAAAGAGAAGATTGACTCGGATCTCAGAAAATAACTTGGAAATTCGATAGTAATGAAAAAATCAAAGATTTTCATGAAAAAAATAAGAAACAAGTAAAATCTTTGGTCGAAGACCCCTCGGTATAAAAAAAGAATTTTCTATCGAACAAGAGATCTTCAGTTTCGCTCTCAATAACCCTAGATTTGACTGTTGTTAAGAAACTCTAACTCCTTCATCAACGTTGTTAGAAATTCTTTGTAATAATCGAGTTTTACTCAAAGATCAAAAAAGAAACTTGTTCTTTTCCCTTATGTTTTGCTTACCGCTTTATTGTGTCGGATCATTTGATATTATTTTGGTACCAACTTGTGTATTATATAGTCTTATGATAATAGCAAGGTAATCAATGAACATTTTAGTAGTTTTCTTTACATGGTATTTATTGATATTTTTGATACAACTACATGGGTTTATAAATTTTAGAGAATATATAGATACAAAAAGTTCACATACTTTTGTTTATCATAGGTCTTATGGACAAAATAATGCATTTAGAGCAAAAATAGAGAGTTTCATACATCTACCTTACGATTTGAAGTAAAAAAATTCTAAAAGATCATAGCAAACAAACCAAATTCTCATGTCTATTAATCCTCACACTTGTCGATAATTTTTTTTAATATATATCTATCAAGATATATATCAAAACTGCATTTGATCAGAATCGAACCCGAGTGCTATATGTTTAAGAATTAACTAAAATTTTTAAACATTACCAACATCATTTAATTTAAACACTGAAAAACTAGTAGAAACTATGAAGTCTTTTTTTCCAGTTTTTACAATTTTAAATACATCATTTACTTTATTCTTTATATATATACTGATTATTACGTGTGTATGTATATATATGGTCAACGATTCATGTGCAGATTATTAATAATGGTTTTTGATTTTTTAAATATTGGTTTTGTAGAATTAAAAATGATCAAAAATTAGTTATAATTATTTTATAATTTAGACTTGTTAATTATTTTTTTGCATAATGTTACGTCATTGAGTTGCATGGACACTTGTTATTAACAAAATCATCAATGTTTTACTTTTATACATAAAAATTTATACAAATTGTGAAATGGTCTTAAACGGGCTAAAATACACAGCCCCGTTTATTCTAAGCCATCATACTTTATAGTTTATATATAGGAGACAAAATCGATTATAGAGAAAGGAAAAAAAAATTTCACACTCGGTTGAAATATCGAACCACTGTTTGACTACGAGGAAGATAATATGTGGACGTCTGGGATTGAAGAACATAACGAGGAATATTACCGTCGGCTGAGTAGTTGTTACTGGCACCAAGTCAATGAATCCGATGTATGTAACTCTCTCATCTCCGTAAAGTTTCTTCTACTTAATGATCGATTAATGTTGATAAAACCATTTTAAAGGTTTAAATAAAAAGAATTCAAAACCTTGGAGGGCCAAAACTATGTTGCATGGAAACTCTCTCCGAGGTCCGTTTCCCGTTTCCGAAACGTTTCGGAAACGGAAACTCTCAGAAACACCAAGAAACGTCACAGAAACGCGTTTCTTAAAAATCTATGTTCAGAAACACGATCCATTTTGGAAACATGACAAATCTTTTTTTCTTTACTTTGGAAACTTAATAAATAAATAGCATGGAAATATTATAATTTATAGTACATAAATAATTTTGGAAGACTCGAGTTTTAAGATCTTTTTCTCGACGAACCAGATTTGGAGACAGTTTTATATAATCTTTGATGGAACTAATGAAAATGAGAATGAAAATGTTGGTCTAAATATTTGAACTTAAGCCTTTTAATCTTAATTTTTTGGAATTTTAGTTAAACTATTTAATAGTTTATGTTTTGGATTTGTGTTATTTAAAACATATTTTCTTTTAATTTTTTTTATGTTTGGTAACTGTGTGTGTGTGTGTATGTGTGTATATACGTTTCCAAAACGTTTTCATTCTCTAACTTTAGAGAAAACCCGTTTCCCGTTTCCGAAACGTTTCGTTTCCGCGTTTCCGTTTTCGTTTCCATGAAACATAGCTTGGAGGTTTAAATTATAGCTTTAGAAAAAAGAAATTATGAGATTTTTCCTTAAATTCTGTCTACTCTAGCTTGTGTAATCTCCCTCTTCTATGATAAAATCAGACCGTACTAGCATCTGGTTTACAGTTCAAACCGGTTTAAATAGCCGGTCCGGTTTAGTTTTGGAAAGAATTGCGTCGTGGCTGTTGGAAACAACGTAAGGACGCAAATTCTGAAACGAATTTGGTTCGTTGCCTCTCTATCTCTCAACGAAACAATGGTTGGTTCCTAAATCTCTCAGCTACACCTATCTTCTGATCACGGTTTCTCAGACTCTGTTGACTCGGTTGCTTATCTGACTCAGTGATTTGAGTTCGTCGGCGACCGAGTTTAAGAGTATCCTCGCACTCTATAGGTATATTTCATCACTTGCATCAATGGTTTTCTCGATCCTTGTTTCAATCTCTTCTCTGTTCTCAATCTGTATGAATTAGATTCTCGAATTCGATTAGGGTTACACGAAAGATGGGATTTTTATTACGAACAACTTAGGAATTGGTTTAGGACAAGTCATTGTGTTTTCTCTGGAGAAGAGTAAGATTTTATCTAGATTATATGAAATTGAGATGACTTTATAGTTCCATTATGATTTTTTTCATCAAATTGACATAAAGTTTTGTCCTTTATGTATTCTCATATGATTTGTACTTAGATTGTATTGGTTTGTTCAATGCCCATTTGTGATTTAGAACACTATTTCTTCTATAGTTACTATTTTGCTTCACTGTTCTTGATAGGTATGAATGTATATGTAAATTAGTTAGTTAGAGAGACTTTGAGAGCTGTTAGTATCGAATCAGTACTTCGTTTGATCGCGCGTTTGTACATGTTTACACAGTTAATGAATGAGTTTTACATGTGATAGTATTGTTTGCAAATTGATACAAACATTGTTTTGGATGGAATTGCTGATTACTTCTGTATTGTAGTTACTCTCCTCAATGGATATTTTTTTGGTTTGTTGCTGAAATAGGAGATGGTTGGAAACTCGTTAGCTTCACCTTTGGCAACATTGGGTTCTGCCAAATGCTTTCGCCATCCTGCAGTACGTAACAAGATCTCCGATAAAAACTTATATTTCTCGTGGTCTTTTCTGAAAACTCATGGGATGTACAATGCTTTCAATTTTGCAGGCTGATCTTGTAACATACACTAATGTTTTACCATTGAGCCTGAACTCGAACTCGTCGTGTCATGGTGTGATTGGAGGAGTAAGGACATCTCTTGTTTCGCGAAAGAAATGGATAGTCTTTTGTTCAACAACACAAGTGGAAACATCTAGTGAAGATCCAAAGACATGGGAAGAATGCAAAGAAGCTCTGTCTTGTTTTGATTTCAGTGTAGAGGAGAAAGACAAGATACTAGGAAAAGCGTTTGGTCATATCCACTCTCCGTACTGGACCGAAGAACGAGTGAAAGAGAATCCGAAAGTGGAAACTTTAAATCAAATACTGGAGTTTCTTAGAAGTCTCGGTTTATCAGACGAAGATCTGCATAAGGTGATGAAGAAATTCCCGGAAGTACTTGGTTGCAGTCTTGAAGAGGAGATGAAACCAAACATTGGGATTTTGGAAAAGCAATGGGGGATTACGGGTAAGCAACTACGAAATCTGTTGCTTCGGAATCCGAAAGTGTTGGGATACAATGTGGATTGTAAAGGAGATTGTGTTGCGCAATGCACTCGGTGTTGGGTTCGGTTTTAGTGTCGATTCTTCAAGTTGAATGATCGTTGATATTGTACCTATTTGAATGTTAGCTTAGAATTAGAGCAAAAGCTGATTTGTATCTAGTCCTCCGTCTTCTTGTTTCATCACAGCCACCTAAATAAACAATCATGGATCTTGATTTAGAGACCAATTTGTTGGTGTCGTATGAAACTATAACAATTGAATTTTTATCAATTGAATTTTTTTACGGGAATGTAAATTACTATTGAATAATGACAATTGTCCTTATTTTCTTATTGGCTTCTTCATAAATGTTAGTGATGCTACTGAATAATTAAATTGTTTGACATATTTCTGTTATTTTAATTGATTGTTTGCCGTCAAAAAAAAAAATGATTGTTTTATAAAAATGAAAATTATATTAATTTCTTTGTTAATCTCTTTTGGATCGGTTATGACTTTCAGTGTTCAAAGCCATAGGGGTTTACGTTATAGGAAAGCATAAGCATGTTTTTTTTTGGATTAATTTGATTGTATACCTTATATTTTAGTAAAAATTTGAAAATCTATACCATAATATTAAATTATTTGAAATATACCTTACATTGGTTCCAAAATGACATTTTTGCCTTCAATAAATATTAAAAATCAGAAAATGAAAAATAAAATAGTTTAATAATTAGTTATAACAAATATTATTCTTAAATTAAAATCAAACTGTTTATAATAAAATAAAGTAGATACTCAAAATATTTTTGAGAAAATTTTGTTTAAAACTTTATTCGGTTTTTATAGACTTTTTTTGTAATTTTTATTTGATCCAAATTTTAGATAATGATATATTTAAAAATGACATTTATACTAATACTAAATTATCATAGTTTGTGATTAATATAAATGATAAAAATAGTGATTAAAAACGGTTAAAAAATTAAAATAGTACTTGTAATATCGTTTTGTGATTAATAACTGTTAAAACTGTATATTCCGCTACAACACAAGTAGTGTCCGTTTTTCTCAATTTTAAAAAATTCACTCTATTGCATACCACCGTTCGACTTCATCTGATTTCTTCTCCTCTACACTCTTTATCCATTTAATCCGGCCATGTTCCCCACTACACTACCATTCACTGTCACACTTAAACGTGTTAACATAATAACAAAGATACACAAGTTTGCACGCGTTAATTAAGTAATTGTTCATTCACTTGTCTCTATGCAAATTTGCATAATGGAATATACGCGTGTAAATGAATAACGCATGAATCGTATGATCTGTGTTAAAAATTTGGAAAAGATATCTCTTTTGCTGCCACCAAATCTTCAGTATCATATCCTTCCACATCATCTTCTACTCGTGAAAACACACACAACTACACTCACATCTCCAAACACTTGTCTTCATTCATATCATATTTTAAATTCAATTTAACAATGTTAATGTAATTTGATCTTTTAACCATACTATATACGCAGTGAAGTTCATATTAAAGTTAATCGTAAATAGCTAAATTTTTAATGGTTTAAGTGTTTAACATATTATTAACATCAAAGTATTGATCTCTCATTATTTTTTATAACAATATATAGTAGGAAACAAAATTATTAACCAAAATAAATCCATTTTAGATCAAAAAGTTTCAAAAACTCATATATATTTTTTCATTATATCTTATGTAGCTCACACAAAGAAAACTACTGGCCATGCCCACTATACATGGATTAATTCTATTTTTCCAGTAATATAAATATAATATATAAAATAAAAAGTTGTAGACAATGAAATATTTGGCTAGCCACTATAAATATACCAAAGAGGTTAGATTTATACATATAGCCGTAATACCAAAAGAGAGTATCAGAGAGAAATAGTTCTTTTATTTTGCACAACTCAAAGAAATTGCATGCGTTTCGGACATGGCAATCTTCCGAAGTACACTGCTTCTGTTACTAATCTTCGTCTGTCTCACCACTTATGAGGTTTATAATTTTGGTCTTTATTTCTCCAAGAATCACATAAAACTTGAACAATATTATACGCCATTCATATCTATATGATAATGATGATGATGACCGATCATTTTCTTCAGCTTCATGTTCACGCTGCTGATGGCGCAAAAGCCGGTGAAGGTGTAGTAAAAATCGGTACGTAACCCTAATATATAACAAGTTGGTATATAACTTATAACCAAAACATATATATCTTTGATATGGAGAATGTCTCACGCTTTTAATGAGATGTTATCACTGGCTGGTCTCGGACTATAAATGGAGTAATTAAAAGCTTGGGATTATTCCTTTGCAACAAAAAAAATAAATATATACTTATGATGAATACATGAATGTATGTATGTATGATTATAGATTGTGGTGGGAGATGCAAAGGTAGATGCAGCAAATCGTCGAGAACAAAACTGTGCTTAAGAGCGTGCAACAGCTGTTGTTCCCGCTGCAACTGTGTGCCACCTGGTACTGCCGGAAACCACCAACTTTGTCCTTGCTACGCCTCCATTACTACTCACGGTGGCCGCCTCAAGTGCCCTTAAATTTCTGTTTCTATTTCAATATATATAAACACATGTGTGTATGTGTATTTCTCTGAGCAAGTACTGCTATGTTTTAAGAGGACAAATAAAAGTATATGTACGAGCCTATAAACTATTTAGAAGTTAATGTTCATCATGTTGAACTATGCGTAACTAGTATCAAACCGTGTTACTTTTGAACAACCAATTTCGGTTTGTTCTAAGTTTAGCAACCCTTAATAAAAAAAAAAGAAATTTTCATTTAAATAATTAGAGACTACAAGAAAATATTTCATTTAAAACGATGAAATAATTAACAACAAAAATTTTTATTATGTTTTTATGTTTTTTTAGCGGTAATACTATTTTGCAGAAGCGTTAAATCGAATACAAATACAAATCTTAATCTGGTTTTGGCAATGAATATGATTCGGATTTATTCTGGAAATGGTCTAAAAAAACTAGAGTTGAGATCACAATACAAAAATCAACTACAAACTACTTGAACCCTTTCGTTTGATATATCAAAGCCTTTTCTTTTTAAAACTTTTATTGCTCTCTAGATTCTCTCTTTATATTAATGGTTAAAAATATATGTTTCGTGGTTTTGCATCTTCGTTTTCATAGACAAAAGCAAGAGGAGCCTTAGAAAGACACCAATGTCATAGAGAGACATGAATGACTTTAGTATCTTATTTGGATGCGTTCACACCCAACATATGTTTTCCTTTGAGTTGTGCGTTTTAGAGACTCTCCAGGTGATAAACATGGTTCCAATGCGTCCTAGTTACTTTTTCAAACTGTCAAGATACAAGCTGCAGCTCAACTTCCCATATTTGGCCTCAAGTCACATTAAAAAAAAAAACTATGAGTCTAAATGGTGACATACGTTTGAGGAATTTATGAGGAATTGCTGTGGAATTTTCATTTGGTCACATCATTTACATAAATAAAAATGTGAGGAAAGCTTGAGGAATTCAGTCACATCACTTGGGTATATACTATTTTTAAGTTTATAATGTTTTTATTGTTATGCTTTTAATAAATTATAAATACTTTATATTATAAATAATAATTTCATAAAATTTGTAATTAGATTGTGTGATGACTATAAAAATTAATTTGTTAACTTTTCTTAAAAAGTAAGAGACATAAATAATAATGAAATTGGTTAGGTTTATATTGATAACTAAAGAATAAAACTAAGTTTGTAACCAATTAATAATTAAACTAGATCATCACCCGTACTAAAGTACGGGTTGAATTTTATTTATTACAAAATATATAATATATATATTAGAACTAAGTTTTAATATATTATAATAGTAAGTGAAAAAAAATTAATTTTTTTATCAGTTCCTATATACAATATTAGAATAAATATAGAATTTTATCTATAATACTCAATTATGGATAGTTTTTTTTTTAAGATATGAAAACGGAAAATAATTGTATTTTTTAAAAAGTAATATTTTTTTAACAATGAGTTAATTTATGTTAACAACCACAAAATAGGATTGCATATATTTCAGTTAGATCAAAAATTAAAATATCATAAATAAATCGCATATAAAACATAGATTATTTTGAATTAATTAAGAAAATTAGCTATTATTTTGAATTAATTTAGAAAATTCTTTTTCAATTTATAATTCTTTGGTTGTTGAAATAGAGATTTGTTTGAGCTAATCTAATTACAAAATTTGTTTGAGATTTATAATTACGGAATTTACCAATTATTCGCATAATCGAATATGTTATAAACATATATTTAGTATATAATAATACCAAAATCAACCCGTGCGTGGAGTCTATATTTTTATTTTAGAATCTCAATATTTCATTTTAAAATAGGGAGACTTACAAAAATGCCCCTTTTTCAATACCCCTTTTCAAAAATACCCCTTTTTTAAAACCTTATAAAAAATGCTCTTAAAAATATAAGATTTACCCAAATATGTAAGTAATATTATTAAAACATACACAAACTACATTTCTATGTATCTAAAATCTTATAAATACTTTATAAATACCTTATAAATGCATTTTAAGTACCTTTAAAAACCTTTAAAATATCTTGTAAAACCTTTGAAAAACCTTAAAAATCCTTTAAAATAACTTGTAAAACCTTTAAAAACACCTTATAAAACCTTATAAATACTTGGATCGAGTCTTCAAGTAGTAGTTACAATCCATAAGTACCTTATAAACCTAATAAAACTTTATAAAAATTTCAGATTTAAAAAGGGGCATTTTTGAAAATGGACATCTAAAAGGGGCATTTTTGAAAAGGGGCACACCAAAAGGGGTATTTTTAACAATTTCTCTTTAAAATATTGCGTGCACAATCTATTATTCGTTAATTCTAAAATTGCTTGCGGAATCAAATTTTCAAATATTTAGAGGTGTCAAACCATATTTAAATGTTCTACACTATTTTTAAATATTCCAAATTAAAATCTTTAAAAATATTTTATAGTTTATAAAATTATGAATTTCAAAAAACAAATTATATGAAATTAAATATAACTATTCAAATAGTTATAAGGATCAAAACTCATTTCATCATATAATATATTATATTTAACCCGCTACCTATTATAAATATTTTTAAAAATAATCAAATTAGAGTATTTATAATTTCTAACT